ATTAGTGTTTATAACAATAAAATAAAAGAATAAAATTCACGATTATATCCGTAGACCCATGAGCATCAACGGATGCAGGATATAGTAGAACACTGGCCCACATTCTCGATTCCAAACCACAACCAATCACCAAACCATTCGCAACATCTTTCATGCTACCAGCCCTATTCAATTTCAAGCACAAGAGTGTGGTAGGCAAACAACATGTAAATGTTCCTAAAGCTTGCATGCTAAGCAACACTTTTAAGAGCATGTTCAACATTTATTATATTTTTGGTGGCCACTCTCTTTTCTTCTTTGCCCTCTTATTGATCTTTTTTTTTTTTGTTGCTTTTCTTATCTTTTCTTTGGGGGCTAAAGAGAGATATAAACATGCAACACTTTTGAACTTAAGGAACAATGCTCACTTTGAAAAACCACCTCCACACTCACTTCACCTCTTAGCAAAACCATACACAAATCACTCATTTGGAACCTCGTTCAAGCTCAAATGGTATGAATGGAGCTTCCAAACACAAGGGTGACTCGATAACGGTGTAGACACGAAGAAAGTAGGGTCGTTCTATCTACATCAATCAAGCTCAAGTAGCGTGAGCTACCTAACACGAGAACGGCCATTAGACACACGATTCAAAGGGGTTGACTAAGGGATAATATGATCGGATTGGTCATCATTTGGGTTGTGGACTAAACGTATGTCTCCATCTTCCTCTCTAGTAACAACGTGAATGTTACACATCATGTAAAGGGGGAACTGTCACACAAGAACGAAACGAATGACACAAGTCTCACATGGCTACCTAGGTGCTCAATCATCCGTTCTAACTCCCTAAACTCGATGCATAGGCAACTGTGAAAAGCAAGTAACCGATTCAAAACATCTATCGGTTCACAAACAAATGAGAAATGAACTTATGCACAAACCTAATACATGTCTCAGTCATCATCATAAGCTGCACACAATCACAAGCGAATCATCCGTAGACCATGCTCATAACCACGAGATTCAAAATAAATCACCACAAGATGCCACTATGATCATACAAATGTAGAAGTTGTTATGCTTGGAGCCCTCAAATTTTAAAAATTTGGGAATACATCTAGGCTCCAAAGCATTCAAAATCACACCAATCATTCACACCAACATGCATAATGGACTACCCCCCACACTTAAGCTCGACATTGCCCTCAATGGCATAAAAGAAGGGATATAACGATGCTACCGGTCAAGTTGTGAATGTTTGTGCTCGGGAGTGGAGGGAGGATGAGCTCCAGAAGAGCGTGGTCACGTCCAAAACACCACCAAAATCTCTTCAATGGTCTTCTTATTGGAGTGGAAAGCAAACAAATCAATGGTAGATGGGTTGCCTCCCACCAAGCGCTTCTTTAACATCGTGAGCCGGACGGTTGCTCCTCAAGTTTTGGTCCACCCAAGAACCTCCTTGAAGTTGAGGTTCTCGTCGGTGAGGTGAAATCTCAAGTCACGAGCATTGGACGAATCCATGATTGTGGGCTCGTGAACTTGAGTGGAGTTGAGGCTCCACCCACGAGACCTCTTCTTCTTTCCTTCTTCCTTCTGTTATTTGTCCCATACCGTGTAATGCATCATCGATTTACCCCCATCGCATCCACCAAGAGGGATCGCCGATGGTTTGGCCTTGGCTTGACAAAGAGCCGCAAATGGGTTCTTCTCCAAAAGCGCATCGAGGTTGGGTGGAAAGCTTTCATAGCCCTCGTAACTTGTGGATGCTTCATCCACCTCGACCTCGTCCTCATCTTGGACTCCACTTGAACCTTCTTTTTCTTCTTCAACCTCTCTTCCTTCTTCATCGATTTCCTTCCTTTGGGAACACTCAAGATCTTCCTCCTCTGTAATGCTCGCTTCCTCCTCTTCAACCTCTTCTTTCCTCATCTTTCCTCGCTCTTCCGCAAACAAGCGTTGAATAGCGAGTCTCCAAGCTATGTCTTCGATTGACTCGACACTCATCTCCTCATTGAGAACTTCCTCTTCAAGGCTTGGGGTAAAATGTGGAAGAGTGGTGGCTTCCTCAAGAGGACATTCCAAGTCTTGAGCATCACGGTTGCCATCCGTGACAACTTCCGACCGTTTCAATTCATCCTCGAGGCTTTCCTCTTCATCTTCCTTTTTTACCCTCTTCTTTCTCCTTCCCTGTCATTTCTTCAAGCACGGTTTGGAGGACAAGGTACCATGAAAGATCATAGAAAGGCTTCTCTTACTCCTCCACACTCGTGTCTTGGTCTTATAAGTTTCTTTCGGGAAGGGGAAAGTGATGGGAGTCATCAATGCAACCTTCTTGTTCATCCTCACCACGGGAGCTCTCCGGGGTGAGTTCTTCTTGATCCACACGGTTGTCATTGAGCGCCCCTTCAACCTCCTCCAATAATGAGAGGTGATAGATTTCACAAGCTCGTGCCACTTTCTCTTCTAGTGTCAAACCGGGAGGAGGGCGGGGTTGGAAATCCATGCCGGAGCTCGTTCATCCAAAATCATCATGGCTCACCTCTTAGACTTCCTCTCTTTCTTCCAATGGTAGGAGGAGATTATGAGCAAGTTGTGCACAAGCTTGCTCAATAAGCTCTCCTCGCCTCTTCGTGCGTCGAAGGAGCTCCTCTGATTCCCGAAGAAAGGTTGAGTCGATAGGGCCGGTGATGGGAAGGTCCAAGTTGGAGCATCCCTCGTCGGTACCCCGAGCAAATTTCTCCACCATGAGCTCCCAGTTTCTTTTTGGCTCCGGTTGTGGAGTGGCACATGGTCTTGATGATAGTCCCATGAAGGTCTCCATGGCCAACTCCAACTTGGATTTCTCCTCGGGTTGTGGAGCGAAATCTTCTTGATGTGGGGAAACCTCTTCATACCCCCAAGGGTATGATTGTTCCTCTTGGAAGGGGGGTTGGTAATAGAACCCGGATCCTTGGCTTCCCCCATTTTGATCGTCGCAGTACCCCCATTCGGGTGGTTGTGGATACCCCCACATATTTTAGAAGCCATTGGGATCCATGATTCATAACCTACACAAACAAAAACACAAAAGGAAAATCAAACAAACACAAACCACCCTTCAAGACGAAGAGTGGGTCAACAAAACGCAAGAAGAAACACAAAACACGAACAGTAAAAGCAAGGTAGAAAATGCTAGAGTAACACTAAGAGACCTTTTCAAAATAATGGATCGCGGTTCCCCGACAACGGCGCCAAGAACTTGACTCGCACGGAAATACACCACAAATTAATCCTGACCAGAGCCCAAGTTTTTAAAACTCTAGCCGGGTGCAGTATAGAGCAAGTATTTAAATTGTCAACTCGGGCCGATCCATGTACCCCTACTTCAATCTCTTAAGTTGTTATCTAGCAAAATGGTTTTGGATTTTAGAACTAATGAAACTACAAACTAAACAAGCAAATAAAAGTAAATAAAGGAAAACTCTAACTAAGGGAGCTTCACCCAGGAGTTGCTTCCTCCTAACTAGCTACCATGACTCGCTGATTTAATGGAGTCGTGTGACATAGGTGGTTGTGAACCACGGGGGTGAGCAACTAGTGATCAATCTGTCACAGAATCAATTCACTAGCAATCGATTTGTCACGGGATCGATCCACTCACCAAGTCTAACGGACCGCTAGGAGGAGCAACTAGTGATCCATTTGTCACGAGATGGATTAGCTAGAGATTGATTTGTCACGGGATTGATCCTCCCACTCAGTCTCTAGGGGTTGCCTAGGTCTCTCCCTCAAATTGGAGTTTGAGCGGCTTAATCACCACCAACCTAGATGCAAACTGGTAAACGCGAACCGCAGAGGGATGTAAATATGGTCGTAGACCACAATCTCGATTGCTAAACCGTGATAAACATTATAGGTTGTATCACTCGGCCCTCTCGGTTTAGGTAATTGGTGGTGACTTACTCCCTCACTCAACTCAAGGGCTGGACGACTTAATCATGCTTAACAAATTTGCTTAATTCAACATCTAGGTTCGCCCTAAATTAACCTAGTTAAGTGACTTAAAAATCTAAAGGAAAACCAACTCGATTGAGTCTCCCTTGAAAGGGGGATTTTCCTCTCTAACTAGGTTAAAATGGCTAATTAGATTGCCAAGCACCAACATGCACAAAGCTAAGGATGCTAAGCACAATTATGCATAATCCTTAGGTTGCTAAACACCAAAATGCACAAACCTAAGGATGCTAAGCACAAAACATGCACAACCCTTAGATAGCTAAGCACAAGCATGCACAATCGACATGAATAATACCTCAATCATTGAATTAAACAATACCCAATGACAATCATTCAATCTAAACAAGTAATTACAAAGTATTAGTTAGGGATCTACAACACCCAAGAGAAAAGAGTGAGTTTCTAGAGAGAGAGAGAGAGAGAGAGAGAGAGAGAGGGATTACAAATTTGAGCTCAAGATCTTCTTCTTCTTCTTCTTCTTCTAGGCTTGAATCTCCACCCAAGCCTCCAATGATGCTCCATGATCACTCTAGCACTCTCTCTCTCACTAGAACTCCCCTTTGGTGTTTTTGGACAAACTCTAGAGAGAGAAACCAATTCTTCTCCAAAAACCAGCTCTCCCCGTTGCTGTCTTCATATTTGCCCGAAAGTGATAAGTTCACGGCCGTGAACTCCTAAACACGTCCGTGAACTCAGTCGTCTCCAAAACGCACCGCTTTGCTTCCTGGGTTCACGGTCAATGGCCACAGTTCACGGTCTTAGAGACCATGAACTCCCTTGTCGTTAGTAACTTCAAGAACCTCACTAGACGCCTCGGTGTTCACAGTTTTTGTTCGAAGTTCACGATCTTAGGTGACCATGAACTGCGACTGTTTCCTGGGACGCCTTCACTTCGGGATTCAGGCTTTTCTTCGGTTTTTACACTTTTTGACTTCCAATTATCCCAAAATTCGACCTCGACTCTTCCACACGTGTTAGGACTTGAAATGTATAAAAACAAGCACAACCTAGCGTGAAATATGTCGAGGAACGATGAAATCCTAAGCTAAACAAATAAGAGATGAGGGGTAAAATGTGTACATTTGGGCCCGAATCACCAATACCAGGAACAAGGTCGAGATAGCTCGAGGGAGAGGGTTGAAGGATGGGAGAAACCCAGCCTGGGGACTCACAAGATCAACACGGATGCTGGTTTGACGAAGTTAATGGTATTACGTTGGGGGTGGTGATTCGTGGTCCGGATGGGACCTTCTTGTTATCGGCAGCAAAGCGTATACCAGGTTGTTTCGAGGTTGAGATGGGTGAAGCTCTGGCAGCAGAATACGAGATGCAACTAGCATGACAATTTCACGTCACACACCTTATCTTGGAGCCGGACTGTCTACCATTGATTCAAAAGCTCGAAGTAGTGACACATATACATACTGAAGTTAGTGTTGTGGACCCATGTTCGTAGGACGGCTAATGAAGCAGCTCATGTTATGGCGCACTCGAGAAATCTCTCTTCTGATGCGGTAGTCTAGCTTGACTGACAACCCTCCTTTATGTCTAGTTAATCAGCTCCATCTGGACAATGTAACTTTACTTTGGCTTCTGATTAATAAAAGAAAAGCAGATTATGGTAAAAAAAGTTAAATTAAATTTAAAGAAACCCTACTCAATCCTTCCTTTACCCTCGCTAACCGCGAGCCAACCGCGAGCTAGCCATCACATTCCACACAATACCCGCAAGTAAGGAAAATTAATCCATCCAACTGTGGAAATTTCGTTCCCGCACTCTCCCACAAATGTACTAAATTCATCATCTCCGCGTTAACTCCTGGACTCTACGCATCCGTCCTTAACAATTAAGAAATCCTTTTTTCGGTGAACAACAATTAGGAAAAAGTTTGAAGGCAATCCCCAAATGTAAAAAAAAGTCCCCCCTTACCTTCTTCTTCACCCAAGTCCCAACCCAAACAGTGCGGTGGACGAAGTCCCTCTTCCTCCTAAATCCGTGTCATTTGGTGCCTTTCTTGACTCCTTCCCTCTCTCTCTCTCTCTCTCTACTTATACACAAACATAATTTCCCCCCACCTTCGAAAACGAGTCATTGTTGACTCGGCGACTCAGTTGACCATTCCTTCCTTCCCCACAGCAGCCAGCCATAGCCGTCGACTCGACCCCATAGGCCCTTCCCTTCCCTTCCCTTCTTCAAAACCCCCTCTCCCCAATTCCTCCATTTCCCCCATTCCTATCCTGAATTCCAACTTCTCAATTTCCTCTCAACAGCAACAGCAGCCGCAGCCATGAACGATCTCTTCTCCGGCTCCTTCTCCCGCTTCCGCAGCGAAGACGGCGGTGCTTCCCCCGACCACCACGTCGTCCAGATGTCCGAGATCCCCTCCACCGCCGGGGTCAACCTCGACAAATTCTTTGAAGACGTCGAGTCCATCAAGGACGAGCTCAAGGAGCTCGAGAAGCTCAACTCCAGCCTCCAGTCCTCCCACGAGCACAGCAAGACCCTACACAACGCCACCGCCGTCAAGGACCTCCGCGCTCGGATGGACGCCGACGTCGCCACCGCTCTCAAGAAGGCCAAGCTCATCAAGGTCCGATTGGAGGCCCTCGACAGATCCAACGCCGCCAACCGTAGCGTTCCCGGCTGCGGGCCCGGCTCCTCCTCCGATCGGACCCGGACTTCTGTGGTCAACGGCCTGCGCAAGAAGCTCAAGGACTCCATGGAGAGTTTCAGCTCTCTGAGGTCCAAGATTTCCTCCGAGTATCGGGAGACCGTGGAGAGGAGGTACTTCACTGTTACAGGAGAGAACCCTGACGAGAAGACGCTCGATCGTTTGATCTCTACAGGTTAGTTTCCTCTTCTTTTTTTTTTCTCCTTTTTCTCCCCACTAGAAATTATGCCCACCACTTGACTGACAAAATTACTGACCGAGATCTGAAGCTCCATTTCCTTTGTGGATGTTAAAGTGAGCTGAATTTTGGACGTGGGTTAGGGTTATGATGGTTTGTGACGACAATCCTCTCTTAAAAGACGGAATCTTTTGGTGTTGATCCCTTACAGGCGAGAGCGAGACTTTTCTCCAGAAGGCGATCCAAGAGCAAGGCAGGGGAAGGATCCTGGACACGATCAATGAGATTCAGGAGAGGCACGACGCCGTCAAAGACATGGAGAAGAATCTCAAGGAGCTCCACCAAGTGTTCTTAGACATGGCGGTGCTGGTCCAAGCACAAGGAGAACAGCTGGACGACATCGAGAGCAATATGCAGAGAGCCAGCTCCTTCGTCCGTGGTGGGACTCAGCAGCTGCAGACTGCGCGAGTCCTGCAGAAGAACACCAGGAAATGGACTTGCTACGCCATCACCATCTTGCTGGTGATCATCCTCCTCGTAGTGCTGTTCGTCGTCAGGCCATGGGAAAGCAATGGTGGAGGCGGAGGCGGCGGTGGTGGAAACCAACCTGCTCCTGCTCTTACCCCACCTGCTCAGATCACGCCCCCGCCGCCAGGAGCGTAGGCTTGATGGTGGGGACTCCCTTCTCGGTTACATGTATCATCACTTCATTTACAGTATTCATACGTGAGTAATGCCTTTTGTGCTTCTGTCTAGTTTTTGAAGATCAAAGATTTCGTTTATGTGGATCGATTAATTTATTTTTTTCGAGACCTTTGGGGAGCTGAGATATGAGAGAGGGGTAAGAGCAGCAGGCATTTTGAGATGCCATTGATAATTGAAATCTTAGTGGATATACAACTCCCCCAAATCAATCCATCTCGGATCCATAATGGTTTCTTCTTCTTCTTCTTCTTCTTCTTCTTCTTCCTGTAAATAGTAGCTTATGAATATGATTGTGTAGCTGGTTCTGTTGTTCTTCTGGTGTGGGATTTATTGATTGGAATGTTAGGTATTTTATCGTGCTTCCCAGATGGAAGATGAGATCTTTCAACCTTGAATTTGACAATAATGGATGATTCTGAGATCAGCCTGGACTTGGTCTCACAATGGAAACCCTGCCGGCTTGGATGGGATGGCTCTGTGTAAAATAAAATCTATCTATATATCTGAAATGTGATTCTCTAATAAGTTGAAAAGAACAGGGGAAGGTGGCTATGCACTACTGCCATTAGCAAATTAACAAAAGGGTTTATATATATTTTTATGAAATCAAAATTAACAAAATGTCTTAGGTCGGGGGTGGATATGAAGTATGAACCAGAACCATCAAAGTGTGGTCGTCTACTAACTGAATTTTCTTCTTTGGACAATTGGGACGGCTCCCCCACTTGGCATTCCTCAGCAGTTTATTCTTGTTCCAACATATTAAAAAGCGGTCGGGTTTTGGGAAAAGAATTCTCAACAGATTGCAAAATGGTCGGATTTTGGAGTGAGTTTAGGTGGGGTTGCTCACATCATGACCATATTTTCATGGTATTAAGCAAGCTATTAATTATTTAAAGAGTAATAAAAGTGTTTAATAAACCCCTAAGCAGGGTTTTAGTCAGAATTCACGCAGCCAAGAGGTCTTGAAGCCTCGGGTTAACCTTCCTCGAACAAGCTCACAAAACAGGATTCTTCCACAAGCTTAGGTAAGCCAGTTTGGAAGCCAATTGGATGGAAACGAAAGAGGAATCTCACTCCTGAGAGATTACACGATCGCTATAGTGATGCCTTCGATGTAATTGAGTGTGTTTCTCAATTAATAGGCTAGGGTTTCAGCAAGTTTTGATCGCAACCAAAACCAAATCAAACTCAGAACTCTCACGTTGGGAAATTTGGAGTTTTTACTCAAATTCAACTCTGCCTGTTACAATTCGAGAATGAGGTCTTTTATAGGATTAAACAACTACAAACAAACTAGAACAAGGACTGAAATTAACCTAACTAAACAAAGAAACTGAATTATAATTGTAATCCGAATTGAACTAGGAATCCTCATAGGACTCGGATTACTAGCAGTGCGAGGTGGCTTCTTTGAACCCTTCGATCCTCGCCTTCCCTGCCAAGTCGAGATCAACCAATGCCCGTTCTGGTTTTAGAAAGTTTCACTCTATCTTCTCCAACTTGAATCACCTCCTGCATCTGCCCCAAACTCCAGATATGAAGCGTTAAAGTCATCACCGTGTTTTGCCTTAGCCAAAAACAGCCAGTTTCTCGGTTTTGGGTTAGCAAGTTGGTGAGCTCCAAAACTAGCCTTCTGGGCTTTTCCTTAATCACCCACGCATTCCACCATGTAGATAAAGTTCTTATCTTCAAAACAAGCCATCAAACTACCATTTTCATCACATGACTTGGAAGATCCGAGCCTCCAAAATGGGTATCCTGCAACACCAAAAACACTTAGCAAATTTTGTGGCTCTTTATGGCTTAATGACCTTGCCTTTTGTTCAATCCATGGGAGCTTTAAGGGCAAGCAATTTGGGATCATATCAGGCTCCCCTTGTTAAAAAAGCTTTTCCCTTTAAAGCTTGGGTCTTCTTGGCTTCAAAAGAATCGCAAAATTGATCACAAATTGGGTCCAATGTAGGCTGATCGAACACCTTTTCTCAAAATCGAGGGCACTGTCCGTCTCTGAACAAATTGGGGCTTTTGTCCTCAGGGATTTCCAGTGCAATTCAACACTTCCCAGAGCATCGTTGGGCTTCCAATCGAAGTTCTGTACCTGCCCGAAATGTCGAATCATCGCCATCTTCCTCGAATCGACGAAGTTCCATTTCCCGCCATCGTCAGTATTTGAAATCGGCGAACGTAGAAACTCAATTCGAAAATTGGGGACTTTTGATTCTGGGATTTTCGAACTCAATTGTTGTGTCCTACAGCTTCCCAAGACCTCCCTCGATGATTATGTATATTCAGTTTGGTCCGAATCGTCCTCAAACTCTCCAACCCATAGCCTCGATTTTAGCTCGTATTTGCTCGTTTCTAGGGGCGTTTGATCTCGACTTGGATCATGCGATTCGGTTTGAATCGATGCCATCTGTTCAATGGAAAAGCTTTGCGATGGTCCAGGGAACATGTCTGCATAGCTGGTTTGGATCGACTTGCTTCCCAAGTCTCCACCCAATAGACTCTCTCTCCTCCCCTGCGTCACTGTCGGCAGAGTACAGAGGCGCCGGGTTGTTGCTATTGGTCGACAACTTTCACGTCGAAGGGATGTGAGTGCTAACTTCCGAACGAGCAAGCTCGTTTCCTTGCCTCTCTTACTTCCAGATTCTTCCACTCCATTAGCCCGATTCGTTTCCAACTGACGTTGATCATCACGAACCTCAGCCGGTGATGGGGGATTCAACTTCAGTTTCTTCCCTCCATGTTCAAAGGTGTAGCAGTTTGATCTACCATTGTGGGTAACTCCACGATCATAGTGCCAAGGTTTTCCCAGCAGGATATGCGCGACGTGCATTGGAGCAATGTCACAGAGAAGCCAATCCTTGTACTGATTAATCTCGAACTCGACCCAAGCTTGCTTCGTCACCTTCACAACTCCATGATCGTTGAGCTAGTGGAGACTGTACGCCTCAGGGTGCTTCACGGTACTAAGGTCGAGTTTCCTGACGTCTCCAGGCTGACGACATTGGTGCAGCTCCCTCCATCGATCACCATTGACGCCATTTTACCTTGAATCTGCCAGCGGGTATGGAAGAGGTTGGATCGTTGTTGGGTCTCACTAACTGCATCGATCATAAGAGCCCTCTGATTGACAATAAAGCTTCCACCGGGAGCCTCCATTTCAATAGATTCATCCACCTCGTCTTTAGTGGACCCGTTTTCAGGGCGCTTGTTGTCTTCCTCATCGCTCTCGGTGTAGTATTTTCCGTCACGAATGACAAGAGCCTTTGGGTTTGGGCATTGGAATGACTTGTGTCCTCGACCATGAATTGGTCACTTTCGGGCAAATATGAAGACAACAGCGGGGAAAGAGAAAAGAGAGCTGGTTTTTGGAGAAGAAACACTTTCTTTCTCTAGGGTTTCAACCTAAACACCAAAGGGGAGTTCTAGTGAGACAGAGAGAGAGAGAGAGTGCTAAAGTGATCTTGGAGCATCATTGGAGGCTTGGGTGGAAGATTCAAGCCTAGAAGAAGAAGATCTTGAGCTCAAATTTGTAATCCCTCTCTCTCTCTCTCTAGAAACTCACTCTTTTCTCTTGGGTGTTGTAGATCTCTTACTAATACTTTGTAATTACTTGTTTAGATTGGATGATTGTCATTGGGTAGTGTTTAATTCAAGGATTGAGGTATTATTCATGTCTATTGTGCATGCTCGTGCTTAGCAATCTAAGGGTTGTGCATGTTTTGTTAGGGTTGTGCATGGTGGTGCTAGCAATCTAATTAGCCACTTTAACCTAGGTTATTTAGGGCAAACCTCAATGTTGAATTAAGCAAATTGGTTAAGCGTAATTAAGCCGTCCAACCTTGAGTTGAGTGAGGGAGTAAGTCCACTACTGATTGTCCAAACCGAGAGAGTCAAGTGACACGCCCTTTCATGCTTACCTCGGTTTAGCAATTGAGATTGTGCTCTCCGACCACATATGCATCCCTCTGCGGTACGCGGTTACCGTTTTGCATCTAGGTTGGCTGTGATTACGCCGCTCAAACTCCGGTTTGAGTGAGAGACCTAGGCAACCACTAGAGCTTGAGTGAGAGGATCGATCCCGTGATAAATCGATCTCTAGCAAATCCATCCCATAAAAAATGGATTGCTAGTTCTCCTACTAGCGGTTCCCCTAGACTTGGAGAGATGATCGATCCCGTGACAAATCGATCGCTAGTGAATTGATTTCGTTACAGATTGATCACTAGTTGCTCACCCCCGAGGTTCACAACCTCCTATGCCACAAGAATCCATTCAATCCAACGAGTCATGGTAGCTAGTTAGGGGGAAGCAACTCCTGGGTGAAGCTCCGTTAGTTAGAGTTTTCCTTTATTTACTTTACTTTGCTTGTTTAGTTGTAGTTTCATTAGCTTTAAACCCTAAAGTTGCTTGCTAGATAACAACCTAAGCGATTGAAGTAGGGTACATGGACCGGCCCGGGTTGACAATTTAAATACTTGCTTTATAGTGCCCCCGACTAGAGTTTAAAAACTTGGACTCTAGTCGGGATTAATTTGTGGTGTAGTTTCGTGCGAGTCAAGTTTTTGGCGCCGTTGCCGGGGAACCGCATTCCATTATTTTGAAAAGGTCTCTTAGTTTTAATCTAGCATTTTCTATCTTGTCTTTTTGTTTGTGTTTTGTGTTTCCTGTTTCGTGTTGTGTTTTGTTTACCCACTCTTCGTCTTGAAGGGTGGTTTGTGTTTGTTTTTGTGTTTTTGTTTGTGTAGGTTATGAATCATGGATCCCAATGGCTTCTACAATAGGTGGGGGTATCCACAACCACCCGAATGGGGGTACCCCGGAGCTTCATGGAGTGAACAAGAAGGGGGAAGCCAAGGATCAGGGTTCTATTACCAACCCTCCTTCCAAGAGGAACAACCATACCATTTGGGATATAAAGAAGCTTCCCCATATCAAGAAGATTTCCCTCCACAACCCGAGGATAAATCCAAGTTGGAGTTGGCCATGGAAGCCTGCATGGGACAATCATCAAGACCATGTGCCACTCCACAACCGGAGCCAAAGAGAAACTAGGATCCGGTGGAGCAATTTGCCCGGGGTACCGACGAAGGGTGCTCCAATTCGGATCTTCCAATCACCAACCCTATTGACTCAACCTTTCTTCGGGAATCGGAGGAGCTCCTTCGATGCACGAAGAGGCGCGGAGAGTTTATTGAGCAAGCATGTGCACAACTTGATCACAATCGCCTCCTACCATTGGCAGAAAGAGAGGAGGTCTAAGAGAAGCCATGAGACCTTTGGAAGAATGAGCTCCGACATGGATTTCCAACCCCTCCCTCCTCCTGGTTTGACACTAGAGGAGAAAGTGGCACAAGCTTGTGAAAGCTATCGCCTCTCATTATTGGAGGACAAAGAGGAGGTTGAAGGAGCGATCAATGACAACCGTATGGAGCAAGAGGAACTCACCCCGGAGAGCTCCCGTGGTGAGGATGAACAAGAAGGTTTCATTGACAACTCCCATCATCTTTCCCTTCCCGAAAGCAACATTGAAG